GATTGCACGGCTGCACTTGTCATACGCGCATTGTCATCAACTTGCTGTAGCCGTTTCCTATATCGATACAGAGCCAATGTACGGCTAGCTAATCTGCGTCGTCAATCCATCACAGATTCTTACCCGTCCGGCCCGCGAAAAGCTTCTTCAATTTCCGCTTCAGAGTTGTACTTCCGATTGCGCGCCATCACAAAACTCTATCCACAGTATCAAGCAGCTGTTTAGAATGTTGCTTGTCGTCACAATACCATTGAGAAGGTTATGAAGTTAACACAGTTGTCAATTGTCTACTAAAGCGAGAATAGTTTATAGCCACACACGTCACTGCGCTCTTTCTCCCAAACCCCACAATAGATTAAACCCCGCGGGTGGTCACACCATGCCCGACCGCGGACTCAGAGGTGTATTCCGTATTTCTACCAAATGCACCGGGTCCCATTACCGACGGCTGGGTCCGGTGTGTGGCATACAGCCCAGCAAAGCTGGCTTTTGTCGCTGTTTATGCTGCCCCTGACCCCGGATTGGGTATGATACTTCCCATGCCGCTGGCGAGCACATGGGCGCCTCAGCGTCGGGCTCCGAAGCGCAAGAGGGGCGGCCGAGAAAATTAAGCAGAAAGTTGAAAGAGTATAATAACTTTAACACGTAAAGCACATACATAACAATCCTCGTAATCCTCACAGTCCCCCCAATTGAGTCCTTGCAGTCCTCGCAGTGTTCACTCGCGCGCGCTTTTCGAAATAACACGCATTCAAAGCAAACCGAATCGTATTTATTTGAACAGCCAATCAGATTGTGTTTTTCCGTCATGCATGATTACCTGATGCAGGCTGGATAATAATGCAAATCAATCTCGTAGGCGAGTTTCCAGTGTTAAGCGTTGAAGAAGAGAAGGCTAATAGAAGGGTGCAGTCGGTAAGAGAGGGTGCAGGACAGACGGACAGACGGACAGATTTGTCGGTTAAGGGAGAGTAAATGCAATGGACGTGGAGTAAAACAATTAGTGACACAAAATATAAAATAAGTCCGGACTAAATTTTTTGTCTATGGTTCGAAGACTAGGTTTTAGTTTGGTTTTTTAAAGTCCACTGCACGTCCTACAAGCATTATACCAAGAAAATGCAGCAACACATCTAAATCTTGGCGTTTGTACCAATAACTGATCGTCGTTGTCCTCAAAATTACCATGTTGTGCTTGTCGGAGAGCAGGTTAACATGAAAATTGATTCCAGATGTTTTTGTGCATTATCAGTTTGACATCGAGTC